AGCTCTTGTTACCATCTTCCCTTGTAGTTTTTCATCCCTACTTGCTTCCTCCCTCCCTCCTTTCCTTTCTTTTGGGTGAATGATCTGTTATTTAGTCAGTTTTGTTTACAAGTGAAACTCTGGGAATTCAAAATTAACATCCTTGCTGGTGAACTTGCTATAGACAGCAGGAAAATCTTCACCCTTGTGTTCCACATTGTTTGGCTATGTTTTATCCAAATGCACCCTAATGAGCTGGCTGCCATCCAGTTTCACGTGGATTTTCTTGCCCATAATTTCATTTGGGAAGACTAAGCCCTCCAGGATTGTACCATGCACAACTGTCAGGGTGGAACACTTGCTTATTTTTTGTACAGCTTTTTTGAGTTGGCTCAGGCAACTCTGGGCAACAAAGACATTGCACTTCCCACTGAACTTTTTCTCCAGTTTATGAAATAGCTGGACTTAGATTTTCTGGGAAGATTTCAACTGAGGAATGGGAACAAAGATTAATAGCTTTCTGACCACCAATTTAAGTTTCCTTGGCTGTTGTTATATTCAACTCCCTTAGCTGGTCCTTGAGTTTTGAGTTCATTTTCAGCTCAAGGATAGCTTAGGAGGTGCTGGACTCTTTCATAGCCATTGGGCTTCATGATATTTTGGCTCGAACTGAACATGGCCTTCTCTCTTTGGTGAGCACTGGCCTAACCACTATAGTTTCTTATTTGCTTAATTTACTTAGGAAACCGTGAGTATATTAAGACCTCAATCTGAATATATTTTGGCATTCCTTGTGCTCAGCACAGTGCCTGGCATATAATAGGTTTCTAACTAGCTGAGGTTAGTCTGAAAAATTATGTATTCATCTCTTTAACAGTGTGTGTATGTGATCCTTCAAATCTCAAACTGCTATGGTTGAAAGGAATCATTTATAATTTTCCAAAGTACAGATGGCTGTGATGAGATTTTCTAATCTCAATGTCCATATTTGTAATATGGAGAGCTTGTTATCTCATAGGTGGTTGAGAACATCACTTATTAACTATGTGATGGTGGGTAACTGATCTAAACTTTTTGAACCAGTTTCCTTGTCTTTAAATTTGAGTTAATGTGAGGATTAAGTGTGATAATCCATATAACCCACAATGCAGTGCCTGCTAATGATAAGCACTCGATGATAATACTATTAACAATGAAATGAAGTATTAACAATGACATATATAGGGCGCCTGGGTGGCTCAGTTGGTTAAGCGACTGCCTTCAGCTCAGGTCATGATCCTGGAGTCTAAGGATCGAGTCCTGCATCGGGCTCCCTGCTGGGCAGGGAGTCTGCTTCTCCCTCTGACCCTCCTCCCTCTCATGCTGTCTCTCATTCTCTCTCTCTCAAATAAATAAATAAAATCTTTAAAAAAAAACAATGACATATATTTTTTCTTGAGAGAGAGCATGCACATGCAAGTGGGGGAGGGGAGGGGCAGAGTGAGAGGGAGAGAGAGAATCTTAAGCAGGCTCTGTAAGCCAGGAGCCTGAGGCGGGGCTCCATCTCGTGACCCTGAAATCATGATCTGGGCTGAAAGCAAGAGTTGGATGCTTAACCCACTGAGCCACCCAGGTGCCCTGACAATGGCTTATATTAATAAATGACTGTTAACAATGAAATGAAGTTCTGTATGACGAAGTGCTGTAAAGTGATATTAAATGTAGGGTTTTTTTTTTTTTTTAAAGATTTTATTTATTTATTTGAGAGAGAGCATGAGAGGGAAGAGGGTCAGAGGAAGAAGCAGACTCCCCGCTGAGCAGGGAACCCGATGCGGGACTCGATCCTGGGACTCCAGGATCCTGACCTGAGCCGAAGGCAGTCGCTTAACCAACTGAGCCACCCAGGCGCCCTAAATGTAGGGTTTTGTCATTATTTTTGCCCTTATTATTATTGGGAGATAGAATAAGAGCCATAAATAGATATTAATACTAGAATAAGAACTATAAATTAAGCAATACGTAAACGGATTCCACAGGTATTCCAATGTTTGGATCCGTTATTAGTAGTGGTGCATATTATATTATTATGCACATTATTAGCGTACTAAAAATAAAACCTGAACTACAAGTCCCATCATCCTTTCAAAGGCTGGCGTGGTGGTGAGGGGGTGGGGGGCGCCGAGAACCACTGGGACCGGATGTAGATAGAAAACTACATTTCCCAGAGGGCGGCACTCTCACATGGCCACTATATATATAGTCCATCCGGGTTCTTCGAGATGCTGTTTGGCGACTCGTCGCCATTCCCGGAGCACCTCGGCCTCGGCCCAGAGGCGAGTGTCGGTCGCTGTGTCGGAGACACCTGTCCCCGACACCAAGACAGCCAGCCCTCTCCGCTGCCCCGCGGCGGGAGAGCGTGTCCGGCCGGCCGGCGGGGCTCGCGCACCCTCCCTCGTCTCCCCTCCCCCCGCAGCCTCCGCCCCGCCAGGCCCGGCCCGGACCTCCGAGCCCCGGCCTCCTCCTTCTTCTCTGTCACCACCGCCGCCGCCGCCGCCGGGCTCCACAGCCCCACCCGCCGCTTCTCTTTCCAGTTTGAGAAGCTGAAGAAGGAAACAGGGAAAAATGTCGCCATGAAGGCCGAGAACCGCTGCCGCCGCCGACCCCCGCCGGCCCCGAACGCCATGAGCCTGGGTCCCCGCCGCGCCCGCTCCGCTCCGACCGCCGCCGCCGCCGAGGCCCCCGTTGATGCCGCAGAGCTCCCCCAGCGCCGCCGCCACCGCTTCCGACATGGACAAGAACAGCGGCTCCAGCAGCTCCTCCGCCTCTTCGGGCAGCAGCAAAGGGCAACAGCCGCCCCGCTCCGCGTCGGCGGGGCCGGCCGGCGAGTCTAAACCCAAGAGCGGTAAGGGCGGGCTCCCACGGGGCTGGGCGGGAGGGGGTGCGACTGCCCCGGAGGCTGGGGAGGATCCTCGCTCTGGTGTCTGCTGGGTCATCCAGGCACAGCTCCTTTTTCTACTATGGTTTCCTACCTTTCTCCCATTTTTCCGTGGCTCCCATTATTTAAAAATTAACACTTAATGAGCACTGTGCAGAGTGGTTTACGTGAATCCTTGCATTAACCTTGCATTAATACTCGAAACAGATTGGTGAAGTAGGTGCTATTCTTATCCCCATTTTGCGGATGAGGAAACTGAGGTTCAGAAAAGGTAAGGTCACCCAGCCAGTATGTGCCTCACGGCCCGCCTTAAGACCTGGTTTGTCTGACTCACCAGTCCAAGCTCCTAAACCACCAAGTTGTGCTACCCTTTAATGTTGAATTAGCATTGGGTAGTGTTCAAGTTTAAACAGGGGAGGGTGGGGCCCAAGGATTTTTCAAACTCAAATTTCATATTTAATAACCTGGTCCCAGATCCATCCCTCTGTTGAAGAGGACTCGTCCTCGAATGGCTTTGTTCACTGTGGAGTAGTGGTTAAGAGCATGGGCTCTGATTCAGTCTTTTTAGATCTGCCAGACCTTGAGCCTTCGAATTTCTTTTTCTGTAAATGTGGAGATAATAAGAATTAAATAAATTAACTTAGGAAGCAAATCAACTAAGAGCTTAGAAGAATACCTGACACCTATTATGCACCAAATACACATCATGCCTATTTCCCTGTGGTAGGTTAGAGTCCTTTCACAGGGAATATTTTGTCAATTTTGTAGTCATGCCTCTCAGTATTATGACCGTTATGGTGATGATAGCTACCATTTATTGAGGGCTTACCATGTGCCAGGGAGTGGGCTAGGTTTATACTTCTGTTATCTGTACTCCAGTTATTAACCTATCCAGTAAGGTGGAATTGTTCATTTCTAAAGAAGGAAAAAGCCGAGAGGCCAGAAGTTTAGGAGTTGGCAGAGTCTGGAATTGAATATTCTCCTTCTTACTTCAAAGCCTATGTACAAATCTCTGCTATTTTGTGCTGTGATTATATTAGCAGTAATAGGAAGATGTTTTCAGTGGAAGCGGAGATGTGTGGCAGACAGGTGAACATTTGAAGTCCCCAAATGTGGAGGTCCAGTTTAAAACTTTTTAAGATTTAAAAACTATAAGGCTTAAAAACAAAAAGAAAAAAACAGTTGTAAGGCTGACTTGTTCAGAATTAATCTATTGGATATAGCAAACTTGTTTACCTGGAATGCTGAGTACTTCTAGAAATTGGTTATAGAATTCCAGGTGGAGGGTAGTTGTCTTGATAATAAATGAATGCTTTAAATATCTAAGCAGGGATTAGTGTGGACTTTCTCGGGCAGTATTATGTAGATTAATTTGGGAGTTTTGCACACGTGTAGCTTTATCACAGATCCCTCTAGAGATAGAGGGTAGTCAGCGCTCTTGGCCAGTGTTGGAACTGCTGGTTTAGTGTGGTCTGAATATTTTTCAGGGTAGTTGATAAATAACTACTTTTGCACTCTATTCCCAGATATAAAGTTAAAGATGGTGATTTTCTAGCTATCTGAATTGTCAACTGATTTTTCTGGGCTCCCCTTTAAGCCACTGACATAAAATAATGAGTCTCTTGCCATAAATGCCTTCAGTTTATTCTGTAATGAGGCGGTAGTTAAAGTTTGTGACAATCCAAACAAGAAAACTGAGGTATTTTAAAACATTTTACTCATTTTGTCCCTGACTTTGAATATGTTTATTAGGACTAACTATGATTACCCAAGAGGTTGATAGAGAATTCTGTTGTAGTTTGACCAAGAAAATATTTGTCAGTGTTAATGTTTCAGATAGACTTGTATATAATATTTATTGTTGGGTTCATTTTGACTAAAGTGCTTTTTTAATGACAAATACTATAAAATGCTCTTAAAACACTTGTTCACCTTCTTAATTGAAAGCTTCTGAGGAAGGAAGTAAAAACTCCTGTAAAGGATTTTTTTTTTTTTTTGTAATATTTTATTTATTTATTTGACAGAGAGACAGCGAGAGAGAACGCAAGCAGGGGGAGTGGGAGAGGAAGAAGCAGGCTTCCCGCGGAGCAGAGAGCCTGGGGGTCGATCCCATGACTCTGGGATCATGACCTGAGCTGAAGGCAGACGGTTAACAACTGAGCTACCCAGGCGCCCCTCTTGTAAAGGATTTTTTGCTAAGTTTTAAGAAATACACAGTGTGCCCCCTGGTAGCATTAAGTTTTGTTTAGTATATTAGAAAGCTTGTGCATGTTTGCCATTGCCAGTGCCTACTTTCTGGTTACTGGTATGTACCCTTAGCAAATAGGAAGGATAGATTTGTAGCTAAATACAGAGTTGATAGCCATAATCCACTGCACGCATTTAGGAACAGACCAAAGGCAGAATAAGTAGATATTAAAAATGGCTTAGGAAATGCTGGATATTGGCTAACTTTTAAGGTGGAACTGAAGGGTAGCATATGCTACCTTAAGAACATTACAGCTAGCTAAGACCATGGCAGATATCATTTAGGACCTCTTATACAGTGATTCTGGAGGGCTGCTCTAACAAAACAGTAGGCTTAAATTCAGCGTAATTCCATGAGAGGTTTCTGTAGTATTTCAGAAGCTGACCCAACACTTCATATACTAGATTCTGCTGGAAACTGTTGAAAGGACCTCTTGAGTTTCAGAATACTGGGTTGAAGAAAGAAAAGGGAGGGTAAGGTGAAAATACATAACTTGCCTTCTTTTGTCAAAGTAACAGGAACAAGGGTTGTTCAGATTTAAATATTTAATTCCCCTTTCCTCTCCTTTCCCTACCTCATGTGAGAAAAAGACCCTCTTCTATGTTCTAAACTGCATGTCAGAAATGGTCCTTTGCTTCCTAGTTACATGTTTAATATACTTGAGTCTTTGTTCCTGCAGTTGGCTTAAGTTCACGCACGCGGGAAATAGGTAAATTTGGCTCCTGAGATTTACTTGATCTTTGCTTTGCTTTGGCTAATTGCTTCAGACATTCACATAACATTCCTTTTCTTGGATATATTCCTACAGCTTTGTTCCAGTAGGGCTAAGATGTAATTCTAAGAACACTAACAGTGAATAGCCCAGGAATATAGCCCAGAGGAGACAGGTGGTTTAGGGTTTGGGAAAAGTCATTTAGAAAAAGCAAAGAAAGTAAAAAGAGGCAAGAGAGGCTAAGCAGTTTATGGACAAACAATGGACCCTGGCCCAGAACCAGGCTCTTGCCCCATTCCCCTAGGCGGGGAATGGTACTACCATGGAGGTTAAGGGAAGGTCAGGTATTTTGAAGCAGTTATTTTGAGGTTGGTGATATGAAGCACTATCCTGACATACTTCCTCTTATTCCGGTACCAGGAGCCAGGTTACTAGTGGTAATCTGCCTTGAAGAATGCTTCTGAGTTGTAAATGGACCTGGAGGTTTTGATGGCTTTGAAAATTGAGGTGACTTGAACCTTTAATAAAAATCACTTAGAGAAGTTACAAGAATTTCTGGGCCTGTTGGCTGGAGTCCTTGGTTTATATGGCTTTGTTGGAAGTCTAGGGGGTGCTTTTGACAGGAGTGATTTAGATATATTAATAATAATAGTCTTCCAAATAATAATGGCAACTTTGTGCCAACCACTGTGGTAGACGTTTATAGAAGTTTTCTCTTAATCTTCATGGCCCTTTGAGGAGGCATGGTAGAGGATAAGCCTCATATCATGGACAAGAAAACTAAGGCTTTAGAGGGGGGTGAGAGTGATTTGTTCAAGTGAATTCTTTTTTTTTTTTTTTTTA